CTTCTACATCCTTCCCTTTTTTATGTCAGTTCTTTCGATTTATTATAGTCATTGTCGAAAATGAATTATAGACAGCATGGCATTTTTTTCTTTTTGGAAATTACTCAATATAGGGGATCTAATGGATCGAATGGATGCTCTTTGTTCTATTGAATCTGCAGGTTGCAACCAGAAACTCAAAGTTACTTTCAGATTCACATGATGTGGTTCCGAATAGAGGATTGCCTACCGGATATTGAAAGACTGATTCGAATCGAAGCTAGTGGAGGAGCTGTCTTATTTGGTGGTGGAGCACATACAGCACCCGCGAAGGAGATGACTAAAAAAGAGGTCTTACTGGAATTTTCTTTTTTCACACATAGGTCAAGTATGAGAGGTACCTCTCTCTTGATATCAACTAATAGGGAATTTTTTGAAAGATAGAAGTCTTTTTGATCATCTGTTGCTCTTCAGATTGAAGAAAAAGCTCGACATCTCATTCTCAAGTACAGTCAAGACTACGTGAAAGATTCTGCAAGGGTTTGTTTTTTTACTATATTCAACTTGCATCGTACAGTTCCGTCAAAATGAAACGAAGAACACTTACAGTCAAATATTTCCGATTCTCAAGCACAACAAATTAGTAATTTCTTTACATGAAGCTCTTTCCAGTATCGCCTCGTATTCCCTAATAGACCCGCGTTAGGCGTGAGTGATTATACCCCCAAACACTGCCCGAAGCAGCTCTGCTTGTGTCAGTACATCGATAAGGTAAGTGCTTATCAATTGGAGGTTACTTTGCAAATCGATTAGTGTTCAAAATGATCTCTACAATATTCATTGTCTTTTCTTTCTTTCAGAATCACTTTAACCGTCCGCAGAAGAAGTGGTACTCGCATTTTGTATAGCTAACGGTCACCGTCCAATGACTATTTCTTCTTTCAAAGCCTTCGGCATGCAATTCTCAAAAATGACTTGAAGTTGCTCAGTTATTTTGCACTATTGTGAGGTTTAGCCTCGTTTCTGCTGCTAATCGGTGCCTTCGTTTATTCAGCCCCCAATCGATTACTGGTTCAATTTTGTCAAGAAAATGCATAATGCAGGTTCTAACAGATATGTTTTGAAAGCTTAAAGATTTTTCGACTGTGAGCAATTTTCATGTGATCAAAGTGTTGTGCCCTGATATATTTGTTGTGATATTCGTCTGATTGTATGAAGATTTTGTTCTATGTATAGTTATGTCAGCCACGGTGCCCAGCTGTTGATAGAAACTGCTGAAGTTAGAGTTTGTGATGGCACATGTTAATAGTACCTGCCGGGGCTGAGGTCAAATCTGGTGGCAGAATTCTTCATTCACTTGTCGATTTTATTATAATTCTATTGCCTTTGCTTGAACAGTGGTGAGGGCTTGAATAGCTTACTACTGTCTCCTAGTCTTTGGGATGTGAATAAAAATCTGCCAGCTTTTGCTCCGAGGACAAAAGACCTGAATTACTGGGATGGTTCAGTGTTCCTTCAG